TTATTATTATTATTATTATTATTATTATTATTATTATTATTATTATTTTAATTACTATTCTTTGAGTATTCATTACATGAAGAAGAATAAACCAAAATTAACAAATGTATTTATAAATATATCGAAAATGTGGTGTTCTGTGATGGTAATTGAAATGTCAGATTCCATTGGGTCTTTTTTTTTTGTGGCATTCGACGGGAAATTTTTGATTGTATAAAAATGGGGGGTTTTAGGAGTAATTTTGAAATGTTAAAAATTTTGAAATGAGGAAAAGAGGGAGATAGCAGATTGGAAAGGGGTCGGTCGTTGGAGCTTGCGCCAGTCAAGTTCTAGTGCAGCATTCAAGGGGAATCCCCTCCTCTAGAGCGCCCCCTCCCCTAGAGCGCCACCTCCTCCCGCGATGGCCTTCCGCCATCACCCGCTCAAGGTTATCCGGAGATAACACGGAAAACGAGGTAATAAACTTGATATATCCCTTCCTTTTTATCTTGATTTTTGGGAGAAAGTATATTTTCCATTTGTTAACTAATAAAAAATCGCATAAATCGAGGAAAAAATCTGCACTGACATATTCAGCAGTCAGAATGCATTCGAATGCTTCACATTTATTTTTTCATTTTGATGGATACTTATTGAACTGTTAGTTAATAATAAATAACAATGGACTTAATGGAATTGCCGAAAAAAAATTTGGAACTGCGATTTAAATGAAATGCATGGGGTCTGCGGTAGATTTACCGTTTTCTGAACGATTCTGAGTTGACGGATATCTCGTGATGCAAATCAGTGGTTACCTGGCACAATATTCGATAAATCAAGTAACCGTTGATTTCGCATACATTGACCTCGTTCCAACCTTGAAAGTAAGCAAAAAAGTGAAAATGAAAAAAAATTTTTTTTTTTTTATTTTCACTTTTTTAATGATTTCGAGAGGGCTATTATGATCTAAGACTTTAATATCAAAATCAGCAGTTGGTTTAAGAAAAAATTCATTTTCGAGGAAAATACCTTTCCCCCCCCTAAAAGTCATAAATCATGTGCGAGTCAGGGGTGATTTTTTTTTAATTTCAATTTTTTCGTTGAAGAGTTTCGGGATGATTTAAGAGTTAAATATATGCGAAATCAGCATTTGGTTGATGAAAAAATTGTATTTGAAAAAAAATCACTTTCCTCCCCCAAAAGTCATAAATCATGTGCGAGTCAGTGTTGAATTTTTTTTTTATTTCAACTTTTTCGGTGTCTTTGAGAGTTTTGTGATGATTTAAGAGTTAAATATACCCGAAATAAACACTAGGTCGATGAAAAAATTGCATTTGAAAAAAAAATGACTCCTCCCCCAAAAGTCATAGATCAGCTCCGTGGGCCAGATGTAAAAAAGAATTTGCATTTTTACGTTTTTTATGGATTTTATTTCTAGTATGAGAAGTGAAAATATGTGAAAGAAACTACTGATGGAAAATTTGAATTTTGAAAAAAGTGTATCTCTTATCTTTTCGATCAAAAAAAACAAAAAAAAAACTCTCTACCTAAAATGTTTGCATTATCCCCTCAAAAACAACATAGAACAGAAGTGATAAAAAAACTAGAGATGGAAGAATTGCGAGAATAAAAATGAGTAAAAAATAAGTGGTGGTGGCTGTCAAGGTCAGCCACATGGGAAGGCGTCTGTATTCCAACACTGAGAAAAAAAATATTCTAGCACTGGGTAAATACATGTTTTTGCAGCAGAACCAATTCCATACACTTGGAATTCGATTAACATCTTTTCACTACTGAAATCCAAAAATAATCAACTGTCACTCCCCGCAATTCCTGCTTTCTGCAATTTGTCAGTGCAAAATGCAGGAATTCCTAGACGAATTCCTGTGACATGGAGAATTTTTTAATCACTTTACAGATTGATTTCTCCTGCTTGTTTTCCGCGATTGGCATTAGTATCCGAGGACAAGAAAAGGTTAACTGGACTCTGCCATTCCATTTTGAATTCTTTCGGAAATTCTGAACAGGAACAGGTTTATCTATCATAGATTTTGGAATAAACAAAATGGTGAATGAAAAAAAAAACAATAGAGGACGGACTGAGGGAATTCTTCGGCAAAATCGAGATACGACAATTTAAAATTATGACAATATATATAAGGTATATAAAGGAATATATATGTAGTTGACGGAATTGCCCGGTAGCCGCAAGGACATGGTTTCATGGGTCATTTCACTCCCTTGCAATGTCGGAATCTTTTGAGGATTTGTTTTACTACTGCATTTTGTTGAGAATTTAATCTGGCTTCATGATTTTTTTTACGGTCCAGATAACCGAGTTAATGTGATAAGCAAAAATATGGGGGAAGACATTTTATATTCCAGGAATTCACCAGTTGACTCCCTGATACCGGAATTTATACCGCGATAATTTTTGGATTCTGAAATTTTAGGGAATTCCCTTTATTATTATCAAATCGTTATCATTGATTTTCAAAATGAAAAATATAAATAAATGGGGAAAGGGAAAATTCAAATTCAATTCCACGAGATGTTTGACAAAAATAAAAAATGGAAATTCACGGAATTAAAAGAATATAAAAACCAGTTATTATTCAATTATTATATATTAGTTATATTAAAATAACTAAAATTTGGGGACACATCGATAATTATGAATAATCTCAAATGACGGAAGATACCAACAATTGAATGTTCCTAGAATTAGTTAATATTTCCAGTAAGTGAAAAATCATTTTCTCCAATGTGTAATTAAACCCCTCAATGACTCGAATAAAACACTTCATACTCGTCAATTATCTCCCATTGGTAGTGATTACCGATGCAGAGTTTCATTTTAGCGGTAATATTTCGTTCGAAAAATGTGTAATAGTTGTTATTAAAGCCGTTGGTTGACCGCTCGATCGTAGAAAAGACATTAAAACAGTGAAGTTTCCTCAAATTTAAAAACAACTCGAGACTCAAGATGAGATAAAAAAAAGGATAAAACCTTGGGCGGTCATTAGGTGAAGTTGAAACGAGAAGGATCTTTGGGGAAAAAAAGGCTTGCTGAGTCCCTCAGGAACAATGGGGCCCCTGATTGGGGCCCACAAAGTGTTTTAGAAATTAGGCGGGTCCCAATCCTCGCATTGTGCAACTGACCGTTTTTTCGACAGCTGCATCCAAACGGTTTTTGCATTTTTTTTTTTTAGCAACCTTCCACTCTTTTCACTCGAAAACTATCCACCAGTTTCTCTTTGTTTCTTCCGTATTCCCATGGTCAGTCTGTACTTTCAATTTGTACTGAAAATTTCCACGTAACAGTAAAATCGATAACAACCGCAGGGTAAGGCGCGTTTTCGACGGAATTTAAGGGCATGATAAACGATTTGCAAAATTTTCGTAAGGACCTTTTTTATGGAGACAATCAAGAGCAGAAGAAAAGGTAATAACAAAATTTTCTGTATCTGTCATAGATTCAGAGATAGTTTCAAAAAACTCGGGGGATATCAAAGGAGTGCGGTGTAACTACGACTTCTATCTCACAACTATTCACGAATATTTATTCTCTAATGATAAACTCTGCCATTTATTAATAATTAACAATGGATGGCATGTTCTACCACCGATTAGTGGATTTGTAAATAAATTTTTTTGATCCACGATGCACTGCTATTTAAAAATCAAATGCTTTCAAATGAACCATTGGTTAACTATTAACAAATATTCATCCCGCAATATGCACCTCTACCATCTATTAACAATAAACAATAACTATATCAATCACAAAAAAAAAATGGGAAAAACATTTTTCCAGGTTGCACTAAAAATTCAGCTTCAGAAAATGCATTAAAGTGAACAATTCGTTAACTATTAATATTGAAATAGTTATTAATATTGAAGTAGTGAATTGAGCATCTGCTATTTGTTAACAACAAATGTGTGGGGATAAAAAAAAATGTTTTTTTTTTCTTTTCTTTCGTATCCCATGGTCACTCTGTATATTCAATTTTACATAAAATTTCGAGTTCAGAGTAAAATCGGTAGCAAGGACAGATTAATGTGAAATTTTGATGGAATTAAAGTACACGCTAACCGATTTCCCCGCGATTTCAAGAGGAGTAAACAAATTCTGTCTATTGATAGAGAAATATAGTAGTCTCTGCTGGGACTTTTCTTTTGTGCATGACCTTGAAACTAACAATCGAACAGGTTATCGTGTGCCATAGTGCAAGGTCAAAGTCAATGGATCAAGTGTTTCTCACTGAGAAAAATGAACTTGAACCCCAAAAATTATTTCATAAGCCGACAAATTCACAGATAAACACAGGAATTCACGAGAAAAACAACGGAATTAGCCATTAAAAAAAAGAGAGATAATCCATGTTCAATGAAACGTGCGTCGTAACTCGGAATCGAATTCAGGGATCAAACAAAATATTTGAATTAATTCATACATAAAGAATTGGTAGAATTTTCTTTATATCGAAGTCGTCTATTAAATTGATTGTAATTAAAAAAATAATTGTTATTTGGCGGAGAATTTTAATTGAAGTTTTACTGAAGATTCAACGATTTATGCCGATTGCAGGGGTTTTATACTTTTTAGATTTTTATA